GGTGCCATCTGCCCTAACACAGGCATGTCCAGTACCACTTACTGCAATTTGCAAATTTGTTTGAAATACTACTAAGCCAAACAGAGAAAAGATGAAATGGTGGCTATAACTTGGAAGAGCTTGTGCAAGATAATTTTATACCTTAGCTTCATTCATTTTCTTTTGTTTGCAAGTTTCCTTTTAAAATGACACTTTTAAGGAAACTCATTTTAAGGAAATCCTACCATTAAAGTAAAAAATAGTACTTTTAAGCACTAAAGGTGCTTAAAGAATAACAAATATGGGATATATGTACATGTGCTCTATTTAAAAAATGAATGAATCATATTTTTCCCCAAATAATTAATCTCCTGTGCTAAAATGATATATTTATATACTGATTATGACAGCTGTGGATAGGTCTTTCTAAATTCAGTGGAAATACATTACTCAGCAACTGTAAAATTGCTTGCTCATGAAATTCATTTGGGTGAAGAATATTTGAATAAAGCTGTTTTCCTCATGTAAAATTCAGTTAAAATTTTAATGTGAACCATGGCTTACTATCAGAAAGAATTATCAAAATATGCCAAAACTATAAACCTTTTCATCCCATAGGCTTATCAGCAACATCTGAATCTTAAATTAGTCAGAGAATTCGGTGACGGAATGTTCAGAAACATTAAATTAAAATTTTTCATGTTCCTAAATCTGAAAATCCAGATAAGTTTAATGTCATACAGCTCCAATCTTTATTCTCATATCCTGGAACAAAGAACATGACACTCTTATTTTAAGTCCTGAAAGTGAACTTGCAGTGGTGTCTGAGGAAATGATACAATTTGACAATCATAAATAAAGATCTATCTGTGTAGATACACATAAAGATCTATCTGTGTAGATACACATCTATAGTGTAGATATAATCATCTAATTCCTGGTACAGTTGCTTCCAGAATTTTTCTCTAGTGAAACTGAAGAACTATAAGGAAAAACTGATATAGCCCTATAATCTTTATTCTCTTGGCTTCCTTATGGTAAGGACAAAGCTACAACATTTCCTACCCATACCGATACGTCAATTGAATGAAAAAAGGTGTTAACTTACATCGGAATGTGTTAAGTTCATCCACGCATCAGGAAGGTAGTCTGTTCCAAGATCCAAAGTAATCAAGTCCATTAAAATGTCAATAAGTATATTCTTTAGTATAAAACCTAGCAAAAAAAAAAGTCAATGTAAAGAAAATGGATTTGCAATTTTAAAATAGATGTCTCGTATTAATGAAAATCTCTTTATTGTAAAGGCCGTATGGGAAAGTGATTTGTATTGCCATTATGTACTATTGATAGTGATAACATCTTTAAGCCAAAATTCGGTTTTCTCATTTAAAATAAATCATATGGGGCCCATTTAAAAGCAAAATGTGCGATATTTGGATAAACTGCAATTATTTTGATACTTTCCCTGATCTCTATTGTGATCACTAATCCATCTCCGCACATTCTACACTGGTGGTGAATGAGTAAATCACAAATACCAAACAGACACATATTCTGTGTATCTGAATGTTATCACAGCTATCAGCATGTTCTTTCACTGTGCTCGATTTTAGATTAACCATGTATCTATATCTACCCTTGAAAGCAAGTGCATGTTAGAGAATAGAATGGTAGGTACAGAAAAATATCTCTTAAACTTTGAAATAAAGTTGACTTGCTTCATACAGTTTGCTTGTGGAAGTTAATGATGAACATCCACATCAATTTTATTTTAAATAAATCAGAAATAAAAATAAGTTTATGCATATATGACAATGTGTGTGTAATAATGACAAAATCAATTTCTTTTTTAAAAGAGGAATGAATTTGTTGCTATGCAAAAAGAAAATTCAAATTTCATTACCAACTACAGTATTAAAACATAAAATGATACATGCTGAAATATGTAAGACAGATATGAGTCTGTCCATTCAGAAATGGACTTTGCCAGCTCAGTGAGGATTCACTGTAAAATGGAAAATCTTTCCAGTAGAGACACAAATGTAAGATTTTTTTTTTCCTTTTTACAGCCAAAGTTCTTGGCTTTTGAAAAAGGAGCAGCTATGCACATCCTATATCTCTGACAAACTTTTTTCTCTGGAGTGGAGATTTTTTAAATTTGCAAAGAAAAATTTCAGGGGTAGGAATATTAAGAATATACTTGAATGAAATTGCATAATGTTAAGTATTCAAAATACAATTCCCATTTGAATTTGTAGGTCTACAGTCCCTGCTCTTTGCCTCCAATTGGGAAAATGAGGAATAATGCCCTCAGCTCCTCCTAATATCACAGAGAAACCCTGGGGCTGGCGAGAGACCCTGCATACACATAAAAGTTTGGAGGAAAGAGAAAAAATAGGTTTGGGAAGCTTAAAGTCTATTGGGGCAGTAAGAAGTAAGGGAGAAATACCTGCACTTGAAGCTTTATATGTCCTACCATAAATTTCAGCACGAAAGCAAAAGCTGAAAATAAATACTGGGAGAATTTCAGCACGAAAGCAAAAGCTGAAAATAAATACTGGGAGAATGCTAGACGGATAACAGCACTCTGATATGATCGCCTGAAGGATTTTGAATTATACATTCTGAGGAAGAACACCTTTTAAAAATCATGTACGGTAGGCCGTTTACTGAAGCACTTTGGACTGCTGATTTAATAGTTTTGAGGTACCCAGAAATGTATACTTTAATGAAGCCACAGGAATCAAATGATTTCTGTAAGGCACAATAAAGCCTACACCACAGAAACATCATTAACAGGAAATACAAGATTCAATAAACTAGGTAACTTAATGCTTCATTATTTTTACTGGTTCTTGGGGAGAAAAGGCTACAGTCCACTAAGGAAGCAGTTAAAAAGTTTATATTGAAATGATAGAACAAGTTTTTGCATCTCATTTGCAGCCTCAAATTGACTAGTGCTTTACCATGAAAGGTACCACCATCATAACTTTTATTTCAGATTTTACTAATCATTTCTTAGGCTAAGAACTTTAAATAACTTGTTCACTTTCTGCTGTAGTTTCCCCATATGACCGTAAATAATTAGTTCCTGGATTTCCAGTCAGTTTCTAGCTTTTTAAAACCTGTGCTTTGTTTCTATACACAAAATTCCAAAAGGATACTTATCTCCTGGTGTCACTTTTCATGAGGCTATATGGCCTCAGAAACATAACTAGGAAGTTTTTGAGGAAAGAAAATTAACAACTCTAATCAAGAGGTAACGTCTCAAATGGGATTAAAGGATCGGAGACTATGCCTTTAACCACTATTTCTGGAACTTTGACAAGATTGTAGAACAGGCTGGCACACAGCTTCTAGGTAGGTTTGACTCCAGTTGAAGTAATGGCAAACATGAATTACTGTGGGATATTTACTCTCAGGTGCTCTGCAGTGCCTACTCACGTTTCTTACTCTGTGGTAAGTGTGAGAAAGCTCTTCTCTCTTTTGTTTTCAGCTAGGCTACTTTCTAGCTACTAATTACAGAATCGCTAATGATGTGCTGTGGGGTCACTTCTTAAATTACTTCTACATCCTGGAACCTCTGACTACTAGGATAACTTTCAAATATCTTTTAACAAAGGCTCAAAGACTTCAAATATAGTGTGATCTACTTCCTTTCATGACCTGTCTAGAAAGAATGTTCAGATGGAGAGAGGAAACCTTTTGTAAGAATATCAAAAAGAGATATTAAATAACTATTTTTAACATTTTTAGATATTTTGTCTAGTGTTTTTGTTTGTACTATAGAGCTCGTACTGTATTTGAATGTTAGATTATTTTGCAAGTCAAAAGGTGATCAATTTTCTTTGGGGGATGCTAACCCCACAGAACTGCTTTATAATCATGGTGAGATGCTGTAAAGTGAGCGGGCAGCTGCACAGACAGTGCTGAGAAAAGAATGCTGGCGTCAGTAAACGGGGCTCTGCACGTGGTAGGAGGAAATTATATCCTCTGGGAAAGAATGGCAAGAAGAATATTCCCATTCTTTCCATTCTGGTTTGTCAGTCTAACAAGACTAGTTTCAAACCAGGAAAGGGGGAAAATCAGAGAAAGCAACAGGGAGAAGCAACAGCAAGAAGAAAGAGTGATAAGAGTTAGAAGTAAATATTTGAGACACCTAAATAAAATGTCAGGAATATTAGGGAGAAACAGAAAAACTTCTTGGATATCCAAGAGCATGTATACTACCTTGAATTTCAAAATAAAATAAGGGGGGAGTTGTTGAATATTTATGTGAAATTAGAAGGGGAAAATAAAACAAAGACAGCGCCCTGGCATGGCCATGCTCTGATTCAGGAGATAAGGCATTTCTGAAAAAAAATTCAAAAATATTGAAAGAATAGAACGTGTGACATTGATAACACAGATTATATATGCTTTTTCTAGTAAAACAGGGAGAAAGAGTACTGACAGTTTTTAAGTTTGCAGAATGTGTCAGGCAGTAACCATTTTTTCTTCAGAAGAAGAGGAAGACACAATGGAGTGTCTGTTCTAGAGTGTATTCCGATAATAAGGAAGACTTGAGTGAGAATCTAAAAAATTTTCTGGATGACAGAGGCCCATTAAATGGTGGCAATCAAATGAAAGATAGGAATAAAAGTATAAAGAATATATATAATGGGGGAGTCAAACATTTTAGGAACATAAAGAAGGGAGAAAGGTTTTTAGGATAACTAGCACTTACTGAATTATACTGTATTATAAGCATATTTTCAGTCATCCTCAACACCTTTTTCTCATATATAGCATTATAAGCAAAACAGCAAGCTGTGCCATACAAAGGAGAAATTAGAAGTGAAGGGACCATGATAGTTACAGAGAGCTCTTTAATAGCTTAAAATAAATGAGCAGACTTATTCAAAAATGTAAATATGAATTATTTTGCATCACCCCCCTAACTCTATGGAGACCAAATACAGATGGAGAAAATTGCTAAGACACATTTTAAGATATTAGTAATACATGTATTCTATGCAATTTATCATTTCTGGAGCAGTAACAACTTCCTAGAAAGATCACATGACACTTGTATTGGATATGCCATTTGAAACAATTGCTCTCTGTTCCCCAGCTTTCACTGGGGTCTTTATGTCACAGGATTAAGCTAAATTACTTTCTGAACCATTAGCAATTCTTATTAAGACTTTTGATACTGCTCTACCTGATGCCTGCAAATAATGGAAATTCAGTGTAAATGAAATTATTATACATTGGAAGTACAACTGGTTAAAATAATATACTTGAAGAGAAGTTATCAGCATGGGAGCACATCTCAGGGGAGTCCCACTCTCTAGAGTCGGCTTCTGGTTAATATTTTGCTGCATGACCTAGGTGACTGAACAGAGAATGAACTTAAGAAACATGTAGATACCCATTTAATTGGAAAGGATAGCAAGCATTTTGGAGGAAGAATCAGAATTCAAAGATTTTGAAAAACTAGAGAGATGGTCAAAATCATTAAGTAAATGTCATGGGAGATATGCTTTGATAAATAGAATGCATAAATAAATACGCTTATTATATTGCAGATAAGAACAATCTAGAAAGGACATCAAGCACACTGGAGAACAGGATTAGAATTCAAAATGAACTTTACACATTGGAGATATAGTCTGAGATAAACAGGACATTAGTCAATAAGAATAAATGTGAAGTACTACATGGGGCTAACATAATAATGAACTGCCTAAATGTCAGGGCAGGAACCTTACTGCCAAGGTAACAGTTCTATAGAAAAGGCTCTAGGGATTATAGATGATTGCAAGCTAAAATGAGTAAATAGTATCACCAAAAAGTACGTGGGAAGATGCTGGAAACAATCCTTCCACTTTTCTCAGATCTGTTAAGGCTTCTACTGGAGCATGGTTTTGGCATCTGCAGATCAAGAGAAATGTATGCAAACTAAAGAGGGCCCAGGGGGGAGCAATCACAGGATTAGAAAACATGGCCTGAGAGGAAAGGTTGGAGGAATTATGCTAATTTCATCTATATAAGGAAGACAGAGGGAAAACACAGCAATAATTTTCCAGTTAAAACAAAATGTTACAAAAAGAATGGTCATAATTACTCTCCATAGCCATATAATCAGAAGGACAATAAAGCACTAGGGAAAAAAGAAAAAAACAAATTTAGAGTGGACTATTTTACAAGCTTATAAAAAAGAGGAACAAGTATAGGCTATAGATAGCATTACTAAACTGGATCCCATTTCATTGCAGGACTTAGACAAGCTGACTTCTTGATGTCTCTTTCCAAATTTTTTTTTGTTATGATACTAAGATTTCTCTGGTATTTTGCCAAAAGCAATATATCCAGCATCTTCAGTCCTCACAATATAAAAATGTGATGCTGCCCTAGAGAGTCGTGGAAGTGACTTCAGTATTATTAGATTCAATATGCTTTTGTTACTTTGTTTTTTGTCTTCTGCCATTGGACTTTCTGGTACATGTTTTCTTACACTTTTTCTAATCTTATCACAGCTGGAATCTTCCTGTTTGAAAATCTCAAAGGGAAATATTGACTATTATGAGACTCAGGAGAAAATCTTTAAAATCAGCAATGCTAATCTAATAAGTCATCCTCTATAATACATATCCTGTTGCTTATTAGCTAAAGTACAACTAAACATTTTTGTTACCTGAGAAATCAAAAATACAGACATTTCAAATATGTATATTTTATAATCTACCATCTAATGCACAATACTGATTTTATGTTCTGATCCCAACAAATTATCTCTATCTGGCTGGACTAACATCCCTTAATGAGGCATTCATTCAAAACCTATTCTATTTCTGACATGGGCAACTATTTAGACCTAGAATTAGCATGAATTATATAAGATACATATGATAAGGTTATATATAATATACCTTCTACAATTACTAGACATGCCACATCTTACATTGAAAGTACAGAGTTGATCTTGATTTAGATAAGGGTTGATTTAAAAGGTGAATGACCTCAAATTTCTTTCTGCCTAATTATTTCCAGTTCATCTTTATGTTGGAAGGACTAAGAAGTATCATTAGGGATTTTGCTTTAGTTTTCTTTCGATATAAATCGTTGCCTTTGCTTGAAGGCAATGAAATACACTCTCTTGGCGTGTTTTTTCTTGATTGGAAATTATAAAGTAGACAGTTGCATTTAGAACATTTAGAAAGTAGAAAGTGGCAAATTAGGAAATTAGAAACTTCTCTGAAGTTCTCATTCTCAACTTCTAGGTTAAGAATAAAGATACAGCATTGCTGAAGCCCTCATAAACACATCTTTACAGGGAAAAATGATGATTCAAGCTGTGAAGTATAGTAGTCATATCCTACCTACTAGAGTATTTGCTATAGGAAGATTAACTTGGGCAATTAAGAATTAGCAATGGAAAATGGTTTCTGTTCTGCCTCTGTCTTCTGAAGGACAAGTCTGACAAAAATCTATAAAAGGCTATGTTATACCTTGCCCAGAATAGAATAAAAAGTAGCAAGACTAAAAAGTAGCAAGTATCGAGAGAAGCCATGACCCAAAATTCATAGGCTACAGAGGTCAAGTAGTCATGCAATTCATTTGACAGAAATAATGCACTGATTTTTCCACCCTTTTATCAAAAATAAAAATCAAGGTTTTCAGAATCAATGAAAGATTGAGACTAAGATAACAGCTAGCTCCAGTGGATGTAATGTATTATGACTCAAATAAGAGCAATAAACAATTAGAAGCCATGAGTCATCCCTCAGTTCAAGTGTCACCAAGGTCACAATGTACTCCTTTATTTTTGTTCATTATCTTCAGATTTGTGTCTTTTGGAGAAATTGGGTATATAAAGGCAAATGTAAACAGCTAATGGAGATTCAGCAGTGAATATGCACAAAAAAAATCCATATTTTAAAACTGAAACATTATAAATACAAATTTTACTCTCACTAATCTTGCAAAACATTCTTTTAAAATATCTATGTATGTTACAAGAATGATTGTGAAGTTAAAACCCAGAATTTTCATCTAATCACTTCCACAGTGACTCTCCAAATCAAACTCAGAGGAGCAATCTGATCTTCCTTTAACTATCGTATCATCTGCCTGTAGTCTTCTATTCCTCTGCCAAGTAGTATTCCACAGGTGAATAGCTTTCTTGGGGTCAAACTTTTTGATATCTGGAGAGTTCATCTGAATTATCATAAGATCTGTCACACTTTCAGACATTAGTTTAGAGTGCAGGTGCATCATGGTGAATTTCATTTGACTGAAGCCTCTCTCTGTTTCAGCTGAACTTGCAGGCAGCGTTAGGATCAAATCTACCAAACTCAAGATATTGGGATACTTCTTGGAATAATCTGAATTTACTGAATCCCACGTCAAGGTCCGGATGTTCTGAAATCTAAAAAGCACAGTAAAAAAATCTATTTTAATGTATCGCTATATACATTTCCATAATCCTCTGCAATATGCTCTAGGTACTTCTAAATCATTAAAACAGACACAAATACAATATCCTTATTACCTGTTATATAGCTCTAATTTCAACATGCTCCACTCGGTTTCAACTTCACCAGTTTTCACAGAGGCAGCTTCTAGTATGACTTCATAATGTTTAGTCAAGACAGACACTTCCTTTTCACCAAATTCTATAACAGAGGCAAAAGAAAAATATGTTTATACTTTTAAAAAGTTTAGAACATGCACTTCTTCAAATAGCCACTATCATAGTTATATACCTTGTTTAATTTTTTCAGGCCATAGTTTAAAACTTCCAATAGTAGTTGCTCTCAAAACATCTTGACTTGCATCGCAAAAACAATCACGCAACCTCTTCATCAAATTACTTAGTACTTTAGTTCGTACTGATAAAATATTTCCATTTCCAACAAGCTGGTAACCATGAAAGTGCGGAATAGTCTCTATCAGGCGTTCTTTTGGACCAGCTCTGAAAGATAAAGAATGCATAATATATAAT